CGCGAGAAATAGGGTAGCGTAGACTTACTATGCCGATCTTGCCGTGCTACTACTACGAATCAAGGAATGGGGCCTGAGCATAAGTACTGTAGGTATGCGCAGTTGCGGCAAGCCGGGCAAGGTTACACCACCGTTCTGCGAGACAACTCCTCCGCCACAGAAGCCGGGTGAAAATGGCACCGTGCATTTTCACGTCTAACCGTGCTAAGGCACTACTCACCTCGAAGCCACAAGCTCGCGTACAAATCGAGATTGGAGCGGATCCGATATTGACCTCAAGAATCAGTCCTCAAAATCCGTACTCCTCCAAACCTCCTCATACTCCCTCGCCGTCTCCGCCAGCTCCTCACTCAGCGCCCGCATCTGCTTCCCCGTATCACTCCCCAGCGGCAGCCTCAACAACCGCCTCTTCCCCTTCAGCAGCCCCTCCCCGGCCACATACTCCCAGATCCTCGCCGCGCCCTCCACCGGGTTCCCAAGCTGCTTCCCATCAAACGCCGCGAAGCTCGCCCGCGCCTCGTGCGCGACCGTGCCCTCATACGCGGCCAGCGCCGGCGCGAGGTTCGCCGCGCTTGCCGCACCCGCGGCGGCGGCGCCCGCCAAGAAGGACGTGCGGAAGTAGCCCGGCTCGACGACGGCGGCGTGCAGGCCGAACGGGGCGATCTCGGCGGCGAGCGCCTGGGTGATGCCCTCGAGGGCGAACTTGGTGGCGCAGTAGACGCCGTTGGAGGGGTAGCCGTGCAGGCCGCCGATGGAGGAGATGTTGAGGACGGTGCCGGCGCGCTGGGCGCGGAGGCCGGGGAGGAAGGCGCGGATGGTGCGGAGGATGCCGAAGACGTTGATGTCGAACTGTTTGAGGACTTGGGCGTCCCTGATGAAGGGGGCGGGAGGTTAGCTGGGTTTAGGTGTGAGGGTGCTGGCACTGGTTAAACGGGGGAGAGACGCACTCGGTTTCTTCGATGGCGCCCATGTAGGCGTAGCCTGCGTTGTTGACGAGAACGTCCACACGGCCAAAAGCCGCAAAGGCCCTTTCGGCATAGCTGTTCATCTCCTCTTGGGCGAAGGAGAGGTCATATTGCAAAACCTTGACTCCGGCAACCTTGAGGCTGTCTGGGACCTTGGCCGGTGAGCGAACGGCCGCAAGGACTTGGTCGCCTTCCTTGAGGGCCTTCAGGGACAGCTCAAGGCCAAAGCCGGTGTTGGCGCCGCTGATGTGCCAGACGCGAGGAGCCATTGGTGATGGGGTGCTCGGTACGAGGACTCACGGAGAGATGGAAATTATGGTGTAAGTTGACCAAGGGCGACAACACTGAGCTGCTGTCAAGTACCATGTGCGAGTACATTCAGGCTTCGATGTGAACCGTCCACAAGCACGCGGTCCTTATAAATGTTTAGCTGACGCTTCTGGCGTCCCTTGCCTATTCCGCCATTCTCGGCCTCGTACCCCTCAGCGTCTCATATGCAATACGAATCGTCCCAAGACACAACCCCTCCACTCCGACCATGGCTCGACGGTTTCGCAGCCCGCCAAGACGGTATGCTGCATAACGGTGTTGGGCTCGAACGGCTCCCTTCGTCGTACCTCAGTCAGCAACGTGAGGAGTCAGCCAGTGGTAGATTGTCAAGTATATCACCATCTTGGCATCATGCCACGCAGTGCACCGTGTAAGTGCTGATTCAGCTTTTGCTGGTATTGCTCTCTTTTTGCAACAGGGACGAAGCAACGGCACTGCCGCAGTCGTAGCATCCAACGTCAACGAGGTATTGGATATCGTGTTGTCGATTCTGGGTATTACACGCAGTTGCGGACCAAGTCTAGGTACTCGAGAGGTTGCGGCAAACTCGACATCCGATATGTACAAGCGCCATCCAGCGCCTTAAGTCTCCTTGATGGCCAGCTTCTCCCTCATTTCCTTCTTGATCCTCGTCACCGTGCCCGAGCCGCCATATACCATGCCCGTGTACAGCATGGCCACACTGGCGCCGGCATTGAGGACCTTGAGCGCCTGGTCGCCAGTCGTGATACCGCCGCTCGCAAAGATAACCTTTTGCTGCGGGAACGCGTCATCCACCCCCGGTGTCTTTAGCGAGTAGCTGTCGAGCTTCTTGCGGTACCTCCCCACCAAGCTCAGCGTCTGGCCGAACATGGTCGGCCCAGAGAAGCCGCCCTCCTCCACCAGCGCCTGCTGCTCCTTGCTGGTCAGATTGACGCCCTGCGGGACGAGCCCCGACCGCCGCCGGGTGGTGTTCCCCACAATCACGCCGTCCACCCCGCTCGTCCACACGGCCTGCACGACGCCCTCGATCTGGGTGTCGTCGTCCTCGTCGGGCGAGACCTTGACCATGACCCGCGGCTTGACCTTCCTGTCGGTGCGCTTCGCCTCGTCCACGACCGCGCCCAGCAGCTTGGCCAGCGGCTCCGCGGCCTGCAGGTCCCGCAGGCCGGGCGTGTTGGGGCTGCTGACGTTGACGACCAGCACGTCGGCGTACGGCGCCAGCCGCTGGACGCAGTACACGTGGTCCTGGATCACCGCCTTCATGTCCTTCTCGTCCGTCTTCTTGTTCTTGGCGATCTGCACGCACAGCAGCCGGCCCGGCTGCAGGCTCCCCGTCGGAATATCCGTCTCGTCCATCATGTCGCGCTCCGACAGGCCCAGGCCCCGGGCAAAGGTGCGCAGGCGCTCGCGCAGGCGGGCGGCCATGGCGTCGGCGCCGCGCGAGTTGAGCCCGTAGCGGTTGACGAGGCCGTCGATGGCGACGACGCGGAAGACGCGCGGGCGCGGGTTGCCGTCCTGCGGCAGGGGGGTGCAGCCGCCGACCTCGACGACGCCGGCGCCCAGCGCGAAGAGCGGGTCGGGGATCTCGGCGTCCTTGTCGAGCCCCGCCGAGATGCCGATCGGGTTGACGAGGGTGCGGCCGAAGACGGTGACGGCGAGCGGGTTCTCGGCCGGGTTGGTGGACTCGGAGCCCGGGGTGGGCCGCTCACGCGGGTGCAGACCGAGCGGGTAGAGGGCCTTGAGGGCGACGGTGCCGATGTGGTGGGCGTCTTCGGCGTCGGGGAAGAAGGTGCGGATGAGGCGCGGGACGAGCCATTGGTGGAAGGAGGCGCGGGTGTCGGTGGCGTAATACAAGCTGATGCCGGCCGTGGCAGTCAGGATGCCGGCGATGAGAAGATTCCGGCCGGTAGTGGAAGGGCGCTGGGTGGAGGACGACGAAACGAGACGTCGGGGCGCATTGCTGGCGAACTGTGATTGGGGCCGAACCAAGGGTCGGAGCGCTGTCGCGAGCGAGCGCTGTGCTCGGTAATAGGAGCCCGCCATGTCTGCGGACGAGGGCTGCACGAAGCCAGCACTCAATGGCTTTTAGCGAGTGGCTGCCGGGTCGGCGGTGGTGGTTTGCGAAATTTTGGAATCGGGCGCGGGATGCAGCTTCACGAATTATTACAGTTCCACGATACGAATACAGTGCAGTAAGAGCCCACCAGAACGGGCCATACTGTGCTTCTGATCCCTGCACACCACTGCGCATGCCCCGCCGCCTGATCTGATCGTGGTCCGATCAGCTTCCTTGAATCGCCATGCCAGCCAGATCCATGCAAAAACCACAGCAAACCCTCTACCAAACGCCAAACCCCATCTAAAATGTCTAATCCAAAACGTAATCCGGAATTTATCGTTGCCACCGCCCAAAAGAGAAAAAAAAGGCGAATGAACGCCTACGCCCCGTCTATGCAGCCACTTTCTCCATCAGGGGCGCTTCCAACGGCTCCACCTCTCGTGCGCTGCTCCGTTCTGCAAGGCGATTCAGGTAGCTGAGATATGTCTGCCACCCGACCGCAATCACTCCCCCGAACACGGGCCGATACTCGAGCGGGAGGAAGGCGAAGCTGAATGCCGTCACGGCGGGCCACAGCTTGCACGAGTTGATGGCGCTGACGGGCACCGTCTTCTTGATGCGGTCCCACGTCTCCGGGAGGGTTGCGCCGGAGAGCAGGGCCTGCATCCCAAAGAAATACGTGTTGAAGACGGGCGTGAAGCAAATCTGGTTGACGACGACCTTGGTTGCTAACGACAGGATGCGCGACGGGTAGTTGAAGTTGTCCGACAGCCAGACGAACCTGTTGGCCCAAAGGAGTCAGCTGCGGCCCCACGGAACAGCGCACACACACGATCGGACACGCACCATTTGTAACTCGGAATCGACGATATCGATCCGATCAACAGCGACCGCGCCGTCCGCATGGGATCATAGTCCCTCCCGCCCATGCTCTGCGCCGAGACTGCGGTCGTCAGCATACGAAACCCAAGGAATAACGCTCGGGTCAGGGGCTTGAGGGGGTAGACACACTGTCGGAACATAGGTAGATGAACAGCGAGGTGCACACCTGCGTCGCGTACGGCCTCTTCCGCTGGGCGCGGGCGTATGCCTGGGCGGCCCTGGTCAACGGGCCCAGCCTCTGCCAGAAGTTGAGCGTCGGGACGTTGTTGGGCGTCGGCACTTGATCTTGGGGCCGGGGTGTCTTGTCCGTCTTGGTCGGCTCCTTGGTCGAATGCGACCGGCGCTGCCGCAGTGTCCGGAGAACGTCGATGTGGCGCCGGAGCGCGGTTCGGCAGGTCCAGCAAACAGTCATTGCGTGTCCCGAGCCGTTGGGGACGCTGCGCACAAAAGTGGCGGGCTTTGCGCAGCTTTTTGTTGCAGATTGCGAAAGGTGGTGACTCGACAGCGCCAGCGCACTGTTTCAGCGCCGCGCCAACGAGGTGCGGAACAACGCGGCAATTCAGCGACGCTTACCGATCACCCGCGCCGAGTCCGGCGCCCCAAATGTCGGCTCTTGTGACACCCGCACGTGGCAGGCTAACAACGGCTGCAGCGGCATGCAAGCACTGCAACTGGGTCTCAATGCATGCTTTTCGCAGCTGACAAGGACCCCAAACCAGCGCCTGACTCAAACACCGCCTTTCGCCAACCAGACTTGGCCCAGAAAAAAACACAAAAAGGGACACCCACGGTGGGACTCGAACCCACAGCCTTGAGATGTTCGCGAGGAGAGTAGAAGTCTCACGCGCTACCGATTGCGCTACGCGGGCTGACTTGAGTGAGGCGGTCGGGGCAGAGCATTATGACTCAGCGCGCTGCGCACCTCGGACAGTCGATTCTCTGGAATTGATTGACATCCTTCTTTTCGACTCAGGTTCAACGTATGATCAAGAAATAGGGATGGACGGTGCCACTTCTGATTCCACGACCTTGAAGCAGTTTCTTTTGTGTCTTTTAAGATCCCTATCGCTTTTGTGTCATGTGTTCTTGGTCGCCCCAATTTGAGAATCCGCGGCCGTTCTTTGTTGTCCGGTTTGACCCAGAGTGCAACAACGCAACAACTCCGTTGACGCTGCGCACATGTCAAGGTTCATTGAACCTGGCTACCGGATTGGATCCTGCCCATAGAGCAAGTGGGCTGCATTGATTGTAATGGAGGTTTGCATCCCATTCCGGAGAGGCGATGAAGTCAAGTTCTTCGCAGGTCGCACCTGTTTTGTTCCTCGAGGCAAGTGGATCCTCTCTGTTTATAAGACCTGCCCGAACCCCTGACAGGACAGTCCCTCCAGCAACACGGACCTTTACGGCATGTCTCTAAGCTTGCCAACGCCCGTCGTTTATCATCATCCATTCGTCCATCGCCGTGTCAAAGCCGACCCCATCTGTTTCTGGGTCTGCGGCGAAGCTGAACGATGGTGTCTGGAATCTGTCTGCTAACGGGCATCAGAGTACGAAGCTTGTTAGTCGCCGAGTAATAATACAATCGGCATGAAGCGGGACGACTTACGCTCAAGAACTGTATTTACCATGCTGCTTGTACTACCGCCTTGCAGCGGCGAGTCCGGGCTCCGTCCATCGGGCCTCTCCAGCCAGCGTGATCCGCCAGAAGCGCCATCCCCAAGCCGACCACCTTCTGCCGCCTGCGCAATCACGATGCTGACCGTCTCCGCCGCCTTCCTCGCTTCGCGAGAACCAGGACTCGCCCGCATCCACACGGCCCTCGTCCTCCTCAGCACCCCAAGAATCTCTTCCTTCCGCTGCAGCGTCTGGCCGCAATGCAGCGCCGAGCAGAGTACCATGGTGGCCGTAAGGAACGTGTGGTTCATGATGGACGACACGCGCCAGCGCATCATGTGCAGCTGGCCTCCCGGGCGAGTCTCCTCGTCAAGCACACCCTGGATCTCCAGCGCGCCCACCGCGGCGTCCAGGCACGCCTTGCGGGAGTAGGCAAAGACGTCTTGGTCGGCAGAGGACGGCTCGAGGAGCAGAAACCGCCGGTGCAGCATTATCTGGCCCTTGTGCAGGAGGTGCGCGAGGAACAGGCGCGCCATGATCACCTCGGGAGGATCCGTCATGCTGCTGGCCATGGGCTTGGGCTGCAGCGGCGCGGGGATGCTTGCTGCTGCTTGGAGCAAAACACCGTCCGCCTTCATGATTTCCGCGTAGCTGCACGGTTGCACGGCGGCCGTGACGTCGGAAATGGCGCCCAGAGCGACAAACATGCGCCGGCGTGCAATGGTGCCCAGTGCCGTCGTAAGTTCCGTCTCGGGGCGCGGCGGGGGCAACTCGGCCGAGTCCTCGCTCAGATCCCCGTCATTCAGGTTGCAGGGTTCCGCCGTGTCGTACTTCCAGTCGCAAATCATGCGCGGCATGCCCATCTGGCTGCACACGAGGATGTCGCCCTGCAGAACCGTGGCCCACAGCCGTCGCCTCATCTCGCTCTGGAGAGGGGTGACGCCGGCGAAATGGCTCGGGTCGCGGTGGTATCCCATTCGCATGGCCAGGCTGACCTCGAGGGCGAAGAGGAACCAGATGTCCTTGTCGGCGTCGCCGCGCAGGCCCAGCTCGATGTACACGTAGTGGATAACCGTCTCGAGCACGTGCGGTCCGCACTTGGTGTATTCGCCTAAGAGGAGGCACTGGACTGTCTTTTCGCGGTATGTCTCAATCTGGAGGGCGCGATGTTCCGGGTCACCGTGCGCCGTGTCGGATGCGTCTGAGGCCTGCAGTGCGAGACAGATCATGCTGAAGAGTAGTCCAATCCAGACGATCGGGACGCTGGTGTTGTCGATCCAGAATGCTTCGTACTGGCTGATGTTAGGACGAGGCGGGGCTTGCTACGAGAACACCCTGGCACTTGCCTGTTGAAGAAATGTTGGACCATGAACAATGGCTAGCTCAGATTATGGCTGTCAGTCTTGAATGGTTGTCTCGTGTTCTTTGTGACAATCCTCAGGCACTTACAATGAACTAGATCCAAACGGTTGAAATACCGCGAGATGTAGCGGTCCACGGCGCCCCTCGGCGGCAGCGCAGCTCGGATCTCGGCCCGTGATGTTGGCAAAGGACAACCATACAGGAGCAGCGCGTGTGCCGATCGGGATCCCGCTAGACCCCCCTCAGCGTCGTCGGTCTCTGCGGGGTTATCGTCGTCCCTCGCCAACTGGGACTGCTCTTCCCGGTCAAAGTGGTCCTTCAAGTCTGCAATGTTGTCGAGGATGGCTGCCCAGTGGTTACCGCCGACGTAGCGGAACTCGGAGGCGCTGACGCGCATGCTCCCGCACTCGGAACGCACATCGAGTGCCGTGCGTGGGTTTGCGGACGACATGGACGGTTCCGTACTTGCCGGCGTCATCAGATCATCACTGGCCGAACTCGGATCAGGGCCGCCAGCTACATAAGGGTTCTGAATGAGCGCTGTGTTTGGATGCGGGGTGCAGTCGGCCACGGCATCAGACGTGGCACCTGGTACGAGAGACATGACAAGACGTTCCAGCTGGACGATTCTGTCATACATGGAAGCTGGTTTCGGTAGCGCGGAGCTAGTGATGGGTCTGTCGGGGTAGGCACATGACACACCACGCGATGCGCAGCTTGAACACGGCTGTTTGCGGTCACATCGCAACCTAATCAGGTTTACTGTGGATTAGCGGGACTTGTCTGGCATACCAGTATGAGCGACGTTGGTCTTACTTGCGGCGGCGGCAGAGGTGACAGGACAACTGAGGTTTATCACGACGCCGGCTTGGGTTGGGCTTCGAAGGTGCTTCAGCATTGATCACGTCGAGTCCTTCTGAATGGCGAGTTCCCTGGGCCAGGAGGGTTGTCAAAGGGGCCTCGATGGCTGCCTGCGAAATGCCTGGTCCAGGTTCCTCACGCCGGGATGACATCTTTTGTTGTTTAGTGCCTTATAATCCTGGAGACGTGACGCAACGAGCGATGTCAACAATGATAAGCCTGTTTGGTGAAGGGGATAGAGAGACTGCGTCTGGAATGAAGGGGCTGCGTCTGGGACGAAGGGGCTGCGTGGAAAGTATCCAGAGAAAGTTCCCGGCAGTGGTCTGGATTGGATTCTTGCGCCTTCTTCCACCGTCACAGAAATGTAACCTACCGATTTTGGCTAGACCCACAGTAAAGCAGTGGCTGACAGTCTGATCCTCCGATCCTCCGTGCCGTCGCCCGTGAGGCCCACTTTGCTCCGCTCCGATGCTCCGCGGAGCTCGGCGGCCCCGTTTCCCGCTTCGGCGATGTATCAAGGAGTAGTTCTCGGGAAAACATTTGAATCATGTGCAACAGACGGAGCATTTTCACGAAAGGTACAACTGGGGCTAAGGGTGCCTGAAAACGGGTCTGTCCCAGCCGCGGATGAGCTTCGTTATCCGTTCACACTACGCGTCCCCTCGAAATGATCTCTCGAACCACCTACTTATATCCGGAGCGACTCCTCATATGGTCTTCGCATCCAAAACCACCCCGAGACACTCTTCTTCTTTGAAACAGATTTCCCTTCCCTCCTGGAGACAATTTCGTATTCTGTCTATCGCCGTTGGGAACGACCATAAACCGCGTCAAAATGAGGGAAAACAAGCTCCCTTCCAACGAAGATAACAACACTGGCACCCAGCAAGACAGAGACAGTGTCGCTCTTAAGGTTGGTCCGAATAGCATGGAAAACCTTGAGAATATTGGGGCCAGTTTCATCGTAAACTGGGACGGATCCGATGATGTCGCCAACCCACTCAACTGGCCACCCTTCAAACGGTGGGCGCACATCATCATGGTTGCCATACTTGGTCTCATTACGTATGTGCTTTCCAACCAGATGCTTCAGAAACCGTTCGTTAAAGTTGACCCTTTTGATCCAGAAACATGGCCCCTACGATGTGTGCGCCGGGGATCAACGAGATCATCATCGACTTCGACATCACCTCTAAGACTATCAGCACCCTCGCAATTACACTCTACATTCTTGGCATTGCCCTCGGGCCCATGGTCCTCTCCCCGCTCAGCGAGGTCTATGGTCGCCTGCCCGTGTACCATGCCGCCAACCTTGCGTTCGTGGCTTTCGTCATTGGTAACGCGCTCAGCACCAACGTTGCGCAATTCATCGTCTTTCGCTTTCTCTCTGGCTGCGCCGGCGGCGTACCCATGGCGCTGGGTGGCGGCTCCATTGCGGATTTGACTCCCTCTACCAACAGAGGAATGGCCATGACCCTGTTCAGCTTGGGGCCTCTGACGGGACCTGTGCTTGGTCCACTTGTCGGAGGCTTTATTGTGGCGGACAAGGGGTGGCGATGGACGTTTTGGGTCCTTGGGATGGTCGGTGGTGTTGCCGGGCTCGTTGCCCTTCCCATCCTCCGCGAGACACACCCCAAGATCCTCCTCGAGCACAAAGCGGCTCGTCTCCGCGCCGAGACTCAAAACCCGCATCTACGATCCGAACTCGCTCTCTCGAGGACCACCAATCGGGTTCTTATTGAGGCGCTAGTCCGTCCTGCCATGCTTCTCATCCGCTCGCCAATTCTGCTCGTCTTGTCGGTTTACGTCGGTCTTATTTTTGGCATCATGTACTTGTTGCTCACAACTTTTACCGGCGTTTTTGAAGAGCAATACGGCTTCACAATCGCAACTTCTGGCCTGGTGTACCTCGGCTTGGGTGTGGCCATGATTGTTGCCGTGCCCATCTTCAACTCCTTGAACACACACCTCATGGTGCGGACAAAGGCCCAGGGCCTGCCCGGGCCGCGCCCTGAGGAACGCCTTCTGCACA